GCACCCAGATTCCAATACCTCTCTCTCAAAAGCTTGAATATTCAGTTTAAGTAATTTACCTTTTCTTTTCATGTAGATTCAAGCTGCATTTCGTACAGATGAAATCCGAAGGACTCCTCCAACCCCTCAAGATGAGATGAGGGCAGGAATGAGCTACTTCCATGAGACAATTTGGAAAGGTGTACCAAAATTCTTACGTCGTGTTGACACTGCTTTGAAGAACATAGGGATAAACGAACGTGTTCCTTACAATGCCCCTCTCATTCAGTTTTCTTCTTGGATGGGTGGGGATCGTGATGGTATGTTCATCTCACGCTATTATTGGATGAGTTAGTTTTTCCTTATGCAGTGCTTTTTTTCTTTCACTATGGCATCTCTCTCCCTTTAAAAATTCCTTAAAATTATTTTGCTGATTCTGTAGCTTAAATCTGCTTAATATGGGCTGCAGGAAACCCTAGGGTCACTCCTGAAGTTACTCGGGATGTATGCTTATTGGCTAGAATGATGGCTGCTAACTTATACTTCTCCCAGATAGAGGATCTTATGTTTGAGGTGTCAAAAGAATCATTACTTCTACTTAATTACATTTTTTTATATTGACTTTTTCTTTTTCTTTTTTCTTTCCATAATGTATTTGTTATTACCATTTTTACCCACAGTTATCTATGTGGCGATGCAATGATGAGCTTCGCACTCGTGCTGATGAACTTCATAGGTCTTCAAAGAAGGATGCAAAACAGTACATAGGTATGCAATTCAGATGAATTCATGTTTTTATCATCCTTCAAACTATTTGAATATCATCCATCAAAACTTCAAATCTTTGGCTTTCTATGATATTTCTTAGTTGTTCTCTATCTTTAATTCTTGAAAAAGGAAGTTGTGTTTTTGGACATGCCCAACCATTGACATTGGTAGATAAATCTCCTAGTTTTTTTTATTTGAGTTTCTATTATTTGTTAAATTCAAGTTTGAAGATAAATTTTAAGGGAGTTTGTAAGTTCGTTTTTTAATTATTCCTTTTTGGATGCAGAGTTTTGGAAAAAAATTCCTCCAAATGAGCCTTATCGTGTTATTCTTGGTGATGTAAGAGACAAGCTTTACAATACGCGTGAACGTGCTCGCCAGTTATTAGCCAATGGAGTCTCTGACATTCATGAGGACACAACGTTTACCAATGTTGAACAGGTATCTCGTAACCACAAGATTTATGAGTTTCGCTGTGAAGTTGTAAAAGATTGAATTTTCAAAGTACCAAATTCTAAGATAAGCTGAGCTTTAAACTTCGGGTATTCTTTCAATAAATTTACAAAGATGTTCAGTACACAAATTGTGTTTGAACTTGGCTCAACCTTCATACTCATGCAACATTTATTGTCTGTCTTTTTGCTCCCTTGTAGTTTCTGGAGCCTCTCGAACTTTGTTACCGGTCACTCTGCTCCTGTGGCGATCGAGTAATTGCTGATGGAAGCCTTCTTGATTTCTTACGACAAGTTTCTACTTTTGGGCTGTCTCTTGTGAGACTAGACATACGACAAGAATCAGACAGGCACACTGATGTCATCAATGCTATAACAAAGCACCTGGAGATAGGGTCTTATCGAGAATGGTCTGAGGAGCGTCGGCAAGAATGGCTCTTGTCTGAGCTTCATGGCAAGCGCCCCCTTTTTGACCGTGATGTTCCCAAGACTGAAGAAATTGCTGATGTGCTGGAAACGTTCCATGTCATTTCAGAACTTCCCTCAGACAATTTTGGTGCTTATATTATATCAATGGCAACAGCCCCATCTGATGTTCTCGCTGTTGAGCTTTTACAACGTGAATGTGGTGTGAAGAAGCCACTGAGGGTTGTTCCATTGTTTGAGAAGCTTGCTGATCTTGAGGCTGCTCCTGCTGCTGTGGCTCGTCTCTTTTCAATAGACTGGTACAAAAACCAGATCAATGGGAAGCAAGAAGTAATGATAGGGTACTCAGATTCCGGGAAGGATGCTGGTCGTTTATCTGCAGCATGGCAGTTATACAAGGCTCAGGAAGAGCTCATAAAGGTTGCAAAACAATTTGGGGTTAAGCTTACGATGTTTCATGGTCGAGGTGGAACAGTTGGAAGAGGAGGGGGCCCCACCCATCTTGCTATATTGTCTCAGCCACCCGACACTATTCATGGTTCACTTCGTGTTACAGTTCAAGGTGAAGTTATTGAACAATCATTTGGGGAGGAACACTTGTGCTTTAGAACACTCCAGCGTTTCACAGCAGCTACACTTGAGCATGGAATGCATCCTCCAGTCTCCCCAAAGCCAGAATGGCGTGCACTCATGGATGAAATGGCCGTCATTGCAACAAAGGAATATCGTTCAATAGTTTTCCAGGAGCCCCGTTTTGTGGAATACTTTCGCCTCGTAAGTATCCTATTTATCCAACATGATCGTTCTTTGAATCTCTATCTATATATCTATGTATTATATGTATATGCAATTATGCATGTATATTTTATGTTCAAAAAATTATGCATGTATATAAACTAATCATTTAAATAATATGTATCCTTAAAAACAATTTATGGTTTCTCCTGTTTTTCTGACTCAGATGTTAAAATTATGAGTTACAGGAATCATAGTTCTGTTCTTCCTCTGCTTTGCCTACCATAAAATGAAATTTGCCCGATTATTTTCTTATGAAGCTCCCTTGTATCCTTGATCACGTCACTGAATTAGCTGATGATTGTTCTGTAATAGTTTGCCAAGAAATATGAAAATGCTAATAAACTCACAAATGTAATATTCTCTTGGATAATGCAGGCAACACCGGAGTTGGAGTATGGTCGAATGAACATTGGGAGTCGTCCTTCAAAACGAAAGCCCAGCGGAGGCATTGAATCACTTCGTGCAATCCCATGGATCTTTGCTTGGACCCAGACAAGATTTCACCTACCAGTGTGGCTTGGCTTCGGGGCAGCATTTAAGCATGCTATTGAGAAGGATGCAAAGAATCTTCAAATGCTCCAGGAGATGTATAACCACTGGCCTTTTTTCAGAGTCACAATTGATTTAATTGAGATGGTGTTTGCCAAGGGCGATCCGGGTATTGCATCTCTCTATGACAAGCTTCTTGTGTCAGAAGACCTATGGTCATTTGGTGACCGATTGAGGTCCAACTATGAGGAAACTAAGCGCCTCGTCCTCCAGGTAACACATCACATAAATTACTGACACAAAGACAGTTTAGGCAGACCTTAATACTTAACATTGCTAAAGATGGAAACTTAACGATTCTCTTTCACATAGATATGTAAATTATCTTCATATGCGGTTTGTTACTTGTATTCTTTCTTGTGAGACTTTGATGGTAAAACGATAAGAGCACTTCTATGAGGCTAATTTTAATCTGGATTGCGGTCCTATATGTAATGGCGAACTATGTGAAGTGCTCTATAAGTCCTAAGTGGTGCTATTACAAATATTTTGAGGAGCTAATCCCATTTTGTGTTAATTTTGTAGGTTGCTGGACATAGGGCTCTTCTGGAAGGAGATCCTTACTTGAGGCAGCGACTCCTCCTTCGTGATTCATATATCACGACACTTAACGTGTGCCAAGCCTATACACTGAAGCAGATTCGTGATCCAAACTACCATGTTAAAGTAAGGCCACACTTGTCAAAGGAGTACATGGAAACAACAAGCAAGCCGGCAGCGGAGCTTGTGAAACTCAATCCAACGAGCGAGTATGCTCCTGGTCTAGAGGACACGCTTATTCTGACCATGAAGGGTATTGCTGCTGGCATGCAGAACACCGGTTGAAGCTCAAGTATCTTGTGTGTCGGCTTTTTAAGTGCTCCAAACCTCCATCTAAGAAAAACTTGTGTAATAAGTTTAATAAAACGATAATTTTGGCTTGTGTGAACCAGAATTTGCATTCTCGACGGCTTTTCTTGTTGTGGAAATTCTATGCTCAAGGTTTACGTCTGGCCGTTTCTCGAAAGAGAGTGGTTTTGGAATTCTGTCGTGGATGCATGTGTTGGCATGACTACGTATAATCTAAAACCCGAGCTGCAGACAAAGAACAAAACTTTAGCTCCGTCGGCGGATGGGGATCAGGCTACATCTCTTCCGTTCAGCGGCTTTTCAGAGTCGAACCCCCGCCATCATTGTCGTGTTGGTGTTATCTTTAGCTTTTTGGTGTTGGTTTGTCTTGATTCCTTGTCAACGACTTTTCCACGTCGTGGGATTTTACAAGAGTTTGAGGTTCTCGAGTCATAAAGTAGTTTTCATCCAAAGTCGTATAACGTACCAAAGAAGAAAATTGAAATTGATTTAAGGAACATGCCAGTGCAGATACTTTTAACCTTTTACATTCATACCAAACAAAGATATTTGTGATATGTGAGTAAGACGGTACAGTCGTCCAAAACTTACTTGCACACGATCACCATTCACCACCACACACATTCATGGAAAATTAAAAAAAATAAAATCAATAATTTTCACCATTTCTATTTTTGTGCATGACGACTAGTGACGGCAATTTTCACGAGTTTAGGTCCGGTTTGAAGGACAAAAAAATGGGAACGAGGTTTGCAGAAATTTTAACCTTTAACCCGAACCCGATCCATTTGGAGTGTGTGTGTGTATATATATATATATATATATTTTTTTTTAAGAACATATTGATTCATGTTTTGAAAATTTTATAATCATATGGAAGATTTATTTATTTCTACATCGGAATAGGTTAGATTTATTTTTAAATGAGAAATCTTATATTTGAATTTTGTGAATAAAACATTAAATGTGAGACTCGTCTACTTTTTTTTTTTTCGTATCATTTATTGTTTAGTCTCCACATTAAGCTGAAAAAAAAAAGTGCGATAACAATATATCTTTTTTTGGTCAAATGATATTATCTCATTCATCTTGCAATCTACAGTGAGCCCTTAATTGAGACGGAATTGTTATTCTTGTTTATCATTTTAAACGTTTATAATTTTTTAGATATAATTCAAAAAATTAAACGGTTTCGATTATGAAATTAGTAAATAGGGCAAGAATTTATTTTGCATTCTAGTTGGTCTGGGATAGTAGCAGGAGAGTATCTCGTTGATTCGTTATCAACAACAAACAGCAATGGCGATTCTCAACTCTTATCTCTCAGTGACGTCCACAGCCACACCCATCTCCCCAGACTCAGCAACTCCACCCGTACCCGACCCGCAGACCAAGATCCTATTGCCCAAGAAGAAGCCTATGAAATGGTCCACCGGGGTCGCTCCCGGCGATTACGGCGGACCTCCGACCACCACCAAGCTCCGGAAGTACTGGGGCGGCGAGGATGACCCTCTCACCTCTGACGATTTCATTTGGAACAGAGAATTCATGGACCGCATGAAAAAACTCATTCAGGAACCCAATTCTTCCATTCAATCCACTCCTGTCAAGGTTCCAACTTATTTCTAATCTTTTCCTTTTCATCACTTGATTAATTTATTTTCTGGGTTTCTCACATTTTAGTGTTTATTTTGTGATTCATTGATTTGGTGGTTTAATTGGGTAATTTGATTAGATAGTAAATGTTGATTGTTTGAGTCGTTGGAGAGTAATGGTGTTGGAGCAGAAAAATTTGGTTCCTCTAATCCTCCAACAAGTAAATCTTGTAACCATGTTGAGAAGCCCACAACACCACCATCTTCGCTCGCCATCAATGAGGAAGGAGGGGACCTGCAAGAAAACACTCCGATGCTCAAGTCTTTATTTGTCCAGAATGCTTAAAATATAGAACGATCTTATGCCTCTCTTTTCTCCATCTTTTTCCCCCCGTTCTGATGGGATTCTAGGCCTTTTATAGGCATAAAAAGCTTGGACTCCCAGTCCTATTATCTCACTCCATGTTCTTTAGTAGTGCATGATTCATGTTGCTTTATTTTAGCCCCACTCCCTTGTTTTTAGGATGCATGGGAAATCGCTAGTTTTTAGGATGCATTGACCCTTAATTTTTGCACCCACAAATGGGTTTCTGTGTTTTTACAAAATCTTGTGGATTTTGATATTTACATGTATGTTGATTTAGCTTAGGGGCAGTTTGATAATCATTTTTATTTCAATTTTGATTTTTTGAGCTGCTTTTTTAACTTAAAGTAGTTACCAAACAAGTTTTCATTAACTAACCGGTAATCAATTAGACGAGCCTTCGTTGGTTTGGCAGTTTGGCGTCCTTGTTGTTACTTAGAAGTTGGGTTGGGTTCCGTTTTGGTTAATGAATAGCTAGAAGGAAAGAAAGAAAAGGAGTCACTGCATTATTAGCCATCTTGATTCCTCGAACAAGATTTTTAATTGAAAGAGAGTTTTGGTGAAAGTCATGTGGACCTTTTATTTGTGAATGTTTTCTGTGGTTTTGTTGTGTGATGAAGCGTGTTTTGTCATGTAAACAGGAGAAGCCTTCCGGGTTTCTCAGCATAAATAGAGTCATGAGCCTTGACAGGTTTGTAACTTCTCACTAGTAGGTTTAATTCTTTATATTTCCTCAAACAAAAAATTGTTTTAAAGCTTGATTGAATTGTGGGCACACAGTTTAGATGTTGATTTGAGCAAACAACTCACTGCTGCTCCTGCCCAGCCCAAGTTGGAACCGCAAGTTGAGGCTCCGGCTAAAGTATGATAAACCTCTGTAGTTTTCAATCCTAGTACTTTAATTCAGGGTAGTTTTCATTTATGATTTTCATTTTCCAAAATGTAATGATTGTCAGAGTGCCAGCGGTACTGCTATCAAATGGAAATTGGCACCAACACGGCGTGAACAAGATAAGTGGGATAGAGCAACTAAGGCTGCAACTGGAGGCAGTGTAAGTCAGATGTTCCTCAGTAACTAGATGTCACTTTGATTTCCACCCACTTGGTTATCTTTGTCATGGACTTTTCAGCTTATATATGCAAACTCCACTTCACATACTTTCAACCAAATGTTACTTTGAATGGTGCTTCTTCTTTCTGTGCTTCTCACTTAGATCTAACCTGCAGGAAGTGATGTTTCGGGAATTAAGGCGTTCTCGGGAGGACCCAAAAGTAGTAGCTGAGCAGTATAGGAAGCAGTATTTTAAGGTACTTATCTACACTACCAGTCTACCATATTTTCATCTCATTGTTTAGATACATGCTCTCGTGGTTCTACTAGAATTAAAAATGGATGACATTCATTTTCCTATTGCAGTTAAAGAAGAGGTTGCAATTCCTTACACTGGGTATAGGCGGTGTTGGATTAGTCTCAGCCTATGTTTCATATTCCCCTGAAATTACAGCTAGGTATGAACATTTGAGGTTCTATTTGTTTTTATCTAAAATCTAAGGTCGTGCCACCCCACATCTCATTTGTCATATTTTCCCTTGTTGCAAGAAAATTAGTGAACTCCGTGGGGAACGTCTTAAACTTTGAGAAAATCTTCTTCTATGTGCTTTGTTCTTTTCTTTTCTTCTCTGTCCCCTAAAAGCTTTTATGGCAGTTCTACATTTATATTGTATGTAGGCACTAGGCAACCTATGTTTACAAAAGTTTTACGATAAAGTAATATCTAACCTTAATTATGTTATAAACTACATTTATATTATATATAGGCACTAGGCAACCTATGATTTAATGCCAAATCCAACAAATTATGTAGTGTAAAATAAATTTTCACGAGGGAATTTTGTCAATTGACATTTGAGATGGTACATATGGGTTAAGCGTATTAGATTTACTTGCATGTTGCATACTTAATTGGATGCTAAAGTGCATTAAAAGAAACTCCATGATTTCACCTTTAGGATAACTGGATAAGTGATGACAATGATGCTTAAGCTTTTGAGCATTTGTAAGGTACAATATGAGTCCATACTTCTCCTTTGTTCAAGCAGTGGAATATCTCCTGCCTGTTTATTTGTGAGGATTTTCCTGCCTATTTCATTTATGAGTATGCAACCAAGTGTCGGTCTGGTAATGGTACTTACCTTGTTAATTCTAGGGAAATTCACTAGTGAAGGGTAGTTGTTTCAACATTTACTGTCTCAGGACATCTGATGGAGTTCTATATTAATTTTGTACACACTATAATTTATTCATGGCATTTGATCCTCATAAATCTCATATAAATTCAGCTACAGTGTTGGGTTGCTTGGTTCTATAGTTTACATGCGTATGCTGGGGAGTAGCGTGGATTCCATGGCAGATGGAGCAAGGGGACTTCTCAAGTATGTAACAAATTACTATTGCCTGATGTAAATGCGTCAGCTGTTTGTTTTGTACAGAGCACATATTGACGAGGGGTTTGATATGCTATTTATTATTTTCTTTGAATACATACACACATACATCAAGATGTATGGAAAATTCACACACTGAATAACAACTAGCTAGTTTCCCTGATTTGTTATGAGCTTACAACTTACAAAATACGAATCGTTTTCTTAAACTTTCAATCTTTAGTTCTAAATTCACACTGCATGTTGATCAAGTGAATTATCCTTACATATTCGTAAATATCGGTTGAAAAATTGGTGTGTCAGTTCAGAGCAGTCTGAAGGATATAGAATGTGGGAGGCTAACTAGAGGTTGTGACATTATGGGCCACCCACATCAAGATACTGTATATGCTTACGTATGCTGTTTTAAAAGAAAAAGGAAATAATGTCATTTAACATTTTGTAATCTTAATGCAGGGGAGCGATTGGGCAACCCAGGCTATTGGTTCCTGTTGTATTAGTCATGATATTTAACCGATGGAATGGGTAAGTATCTGCACTTACATGTCCCTCTTGGAATGTAACAGTACTCCTTTTCTTGTGTTGATCGATACTTCTACAGATGATTTCTGAAAGTTCTTTTCAAATACTTTTCAATCTTATATGAATAAGTGTACGGTCAAATAAATATCAAATAACTATTCACGATTATGCGATTTGCGGGTCATTGTGGATATGGATTCTGGGGATGTGGCTGAAAACAACATATTCAATTCATCACCATTTTTCTTTGCCTAACAAGGTTGAGTTTGGGTGCAGGATCGTCGTTCCACAATATGGGTTTATGCACCTGGAATTGATACCAATGCTGGTGGGATTCTTCACATACAAGGTTGCTACTTTTATCCAAGCTATTGAGGAAGCACTTCCTGCAGTTGAGAAAGAGACATAAGTTTAAGATAGACCTCTTCACAAATCAGCAGAGGATTCGGGTGATGGTTGTGATGCAGCAGGTGCAGAGGTTTGTTTTGAATTTCAATTTTCTCCAGTTAGTCAGCATACTTTATCTTTTGATTGAAATATAACGAAACGATACTAAACTGGTTTATATGAAACTATGCTGCAAAATTTGAGATTTGAATCGGACATTTTTCTTCAATTTATTTGATATTCTCATATAATTGATAAACTTTACTCAACTGAACAAATCCAGTCCCTTGAAATCAATTGAAAGCAACTACATTTGAATTACGCTGGGTGGTGGGTGGGGTGGTACCGTATTTTCAAGTTATACAGTTTACTTGTGGACAACCTTTGCATAATTGTTGCTTATCTTCTTTCTCTATCTATTATCGGTTTATTCGTTTATTTTCATGGGTTGCAGATAATCGGTTGCACTTGTTGACAAGTTGCTTGGAAGTGAAGCTATGCGCAGCGAATTAAAAGGAATTATTAACTCATTTTTTCTGTTGATTTTCTTATGTATTATATGAATATTGTAAAGGAAAGAAATATAATACAATTCTCTACGATTTTGCCTCTGTTTTTGTTTCTATTGGACGAATGTGCAGAAAATGTTGTACCATTGGAGCTAAAATCCTAATCACGCGAAAAGCCTCGACTTTGGTTTAAACTTTATCCAAGTCCATTTCCATCTATTTAGAGAAATAAATACTGGAAAAATAATAGATAATGTTTCTTGACTACGCTTCATTAGGACGCACAAGGGCAATGAGGTGGTCCAAGTAACATCACTCTATGTTGTCCTTAATTCTTAAGCACTCACTTGTGCTACAGTCTAGTGTTATTCTTATTCATTCGTAAATGTGAGATAATAAATATGAATCTCGTAAATAACGAGTTGTAGGTCAATTTATTCCCCTCCACTTTTTTTAAGTAGATCGATCACTTTAGTTGCTTAAATAGTTGCCAAGGAGGAAGGAGAATTAATGAGAATCAAACTCACATCAAAGTATATAAGTATGATTACTTTCCGTTACTCGTGGCATAAAGCGTCATTTACGTTTCCCTCCGCCTCTTAGTTCGGCATCGAAAGTACAAAAACACGATCCGGCCTTTTAGTTCGGCATACATGTGCCTTTCTTCGACTCTTAACGGTCAACTATATATCGATCATGTTGTATTAATCCAAATATATATATATGCTTGAGGTGTTTTAAGTACAAAGTCAATGGCCCTCTCGAAACCTTGTAGCTTTAGATGGGTGCTATATTGATGCCATACAACACGTGGCTACTTGCTATTGGTTGAAAAGTACGATAGTTGCAAAGTAATTTCTTGCTTCAAGTTATGGTTTTTCCCATCTGATCTGTAACCTGCATATGTGACATTATTTAGAAGCAAGTTAAAGTCGGTGCACGAAATCTTAAACTATGACCATAATAATGCGATTATTAAGAGGAAGAGGAATCATATATAAACTCATAGTACGGTCAATATAATCATACACACACACACACACATACAGTTTATAGAGATTTGTTCAAGCATTTGAAAGAGCAAAATGACGGTACGTAAGACGACCTCTTGTCAGTGTTTATTTCTCCTTTTTGGTACAAGTGATATTACTGTTCTAATATACATTGTTTGTATGCGTGTTTTGATGCGTACTTTTAGGCATTTCTCTTTTCGTTAAGTCTGTTAGGTGATCAAAACTTTAGGTTTGAATTGCCCAAATCAATTTCCCAAGGTTTTGTATTTCGTAATTAACACCAGCAGACAACTACTTGACATTGAACTTTATATATGTTCTGATATATGTAAGTTAATGTTCATAATATGATGCTTCTCAGACGACGATAGAGATTAGTGTTCACATCGATTGCCCGGGGTGTGAGAGCAAGGTTAGAAATGCACTGCAAAAGCTAAAAGGTATATTTGTTACCACCAACTTCATGACTACAATAATAACAGACTATTTTTCTCATTTCCCGTGAATTTGTACCTCAATTCCGATTTGTTGTCTAAACTTTTACTTTGGCTAATTTTTTTTCCTAAACTATTATAAACGACCAATTTCCAACCACTATGTTTAATTACTCATATTCGATCGAGCTTTTAATCTTGAAAAGTCACATGCATGTCATTAGATGTTTTTCGATTTCCTTTCTTAGTTTAACTTTGATCTCTTGAAATTTATTTGATTCATTTTAAGAAATTTTTTTATGGAATGGCCAACGAGGGTTGGTTGATTTGGTAAAGATCGTTTTCTTTGCTAGACCAAGGCTTAGGTTTGAGTCACCTTGCTGGCAATCTCTCTTGGTGTATACCCTGACCCTGAGATGGAGTAGCTTCCCCTCCCTCATAATTTTTTGAAACAAAACAAATTTGATGGAATGAGGGTAGACATGACAGAAATGAAGCAATTGGCTATTTATGGGAGAAATTAACCAAAATACAAGTTTTGGGGGTAAATCGTAAAAATATACAAGTTCATGGAAGAAAGAGCGAAACGCCTCTCTCTCTCAAATTGGAAGCTGTTATACATTTATTATCTTTTGGTTTTAATTATTACCTAGCTAGCTATTTAATTATCTAGGTTTTGCATGCTCGATTATTTTCAATAGGTGTGGACAACGTTGACATAGACATGGCCATGCAAAAGGTGACGATCACTGGATGGGCTGACCAGAAGAAGGTTCTGAGGATAGTCCGGAAGACTGGTCGGAGGGCTGAGCTGTGGCAGCAACCCCCTTTTGATTCAGAATACAACTTCGATACAGACCAATATTACAGTCAACAACAATGTAATGGCTCTGCACCTCAGCCTTCCTCATCTTACAACTACTACAAGCATGGTTACGACGGTCCTTCGAATTATCATGCTTATTATTCTCAGAATTCTGCAAATTCCAGTTCTTATGGATATCAAACCACTGCGGCCTTTAGCGATGAGAACCCTCATGCTTGTTCTATGATGTGAAATAAACTTCCTTTTTTCATATAATGGAAACAATTACCTTTTGGATATCTGACTGCTACTTGCAAGTAAATTTCATGATAAAATACTTTCAATAAATTTGTTTGCTTCTATAAGAAATAGATTAATTATTAAAGTCGTTTTTCTTTCATATTTATCATTATTGCATTAATAGGAAAATCATATTCAAATATAGGATTTGGCTATAATGCTTACATGTATTTAATATAATTACTATTTCGAATGTCAAATGGTGATTATATTAATACATTTTTTTCTTATTATACTATTGATCCTAAAAACTACTTAGCCTATGTGGCGCGCAAGCCGAGTACTTAATAAGCTAACTACGTCCTTCGGTTGAATACGGGGCGTGCCAACTCGTCGGCCGAGCTCAGCCGGGGAATAAAATATGTGTTGATGTGGTGTTGGGCACGCTGCTGACTTCTGTGTCTTGCGCTTGCGGCCGAGGAAGAAACTCGTCTCTGCCTTTGAGTTCTAGAGCCTAAAGACAAGGCAACTAGTTTCGTTGGAGTTCACGAATCATCGGCACTAGGTTCGGTCTTTGTAATTATATTTGTGAAAATATAAGTATTCTGAACTGGTACCAGATTGTACGGACACAAATACTCAAAAAAGATAAGTGTCTTGCTTGTAAATGTGATTTGGCCGTTTGAATGCTGAACTCTAAAATGTACTTGCGAATATCCAATCATAAAATAAAATCGGCTCTCAATGTGCCGAGCCTGGTAACACCTCACATCACCGAGAATGCTGATGAGATGACCTCTTCCAACAAGGATTCGGAAATCCTCGTTGACCGAGACTTGGATAGATAACCAGTCGGTCTCAAAGTAGTGTTGTTTATCCAAAATAAAGGTGTTCCTCGGTCGGTTGATTAGGCTCCAGTAGCGTGTTGACTTGAAGGGGCTTTGAATGATGCACTCCCCTCTTTATTTATAGTAGTAATTTTCCTAATGACTGAGGTAAGATTTCACTTGGACTAGAACTCCTCAACCCAATATGATTAGGTTTCTGAACCAAGCTCTTTAATCATTCAGATTCAATCCCTTGATTCTCAGCATCTTTTTTTATTCGGAGCATCCTTAACTTTGGAAGGATTCTTATTGCACTAGGATTCGATTACTTCACCCTTATCCAGGCTAAACCATCTTCTGATAAGATTTAGCCAAACTCTATTGGACTCGGCACATGGCAAGCCCACTCATCACCTCCGGTTTTCTCCTTATTCTCGCTACATCCTGAAGAGGTGATGCGAAAATTAACTTAACACACAAATTAAACCCTCTTGTTGTCAATTGCAGTAAAGAATGTAAGTATGGATCGTTCTAGGCCGGGGATTAGGAGAGATTGCTAAAACACTTGAAACTGACTTAAAACATAAAATTAAGTTTAAAACACCAAACTAGACTCAAAAGATGCAATACAAACTAAAAGGACTCAAAACAAGCTAAAAACGCTCAAATCTGCCTAAAAACACAAACTTGGCAGATTTGAACTCTAACACACTTTTGGGACACCTAAAAACACAAATCAAAATAGATTTTGTGACTAATAAAACACTTTAAAGTAAAGGGGGTTTTGGTTTTGACGAATTTGAAAACAAAACAAATAAATTAAAGAACTAATGAAATCTGCACGAATTTGAGTAAATTGAAAGGATGGAAGGCTAGCTAGGAGGTTCTTCTCCACACATGACATACTTGCACATAAACCAATTTTCAGTTGTTCTTTCGATCAATCATGAAACTCAACACCCCAGGTTAATTAAGTTCGCTTAAATTAACCTTTAAGTTCTCCTTAAGTTATTGAATTGGATGGGAAAGTGCATACAACAATTCAAGCATTCTTCAAAAGTTCTTTACGTGAACAGTACAATAAAGATACAATCAAAGATCGTTAAGCATTATGAAAACTATAAGTATTGACGAGGCATTCGTTACTATGATGAGCATGAAACTCCTGCCAAGAATTTATTTAACGCGATCGTTTATAAGCGACCTCTACTACTTGTGAATATAAGTTTGTAACTATTAGGTGAAACTCCCTTCTACTCTAGCATCATATTCATGCATGCAAACTAAGTGTGCACTCTTAATAAACATACATGAATAAGTATAAATCAAGCAGTTAAACAAATTGAATTCACAACTTATGAAATCATAACTGAATGTAATCAAATCATATTGTAAGCATGAACATGGTTTCGAATTCCTCCCTAGCTAAGGGGGGTTTAGTTCCTCATACTTATAAAGCAAAGATAAACAAATTTAGACATTGAAAACAAAAGAAAGAAAACACCTAAAAACGCTCCAACAATCCAACTTGAATGGCAAGCACGTCCAAGGGTCCTCCTTCTTCTCTTTGTTGCGGCACAAGGTGTGGTTTGATGGATGAGTGGTAAATTATGGTGGTGGATGGATATAGGTGAGTTATGGTGAAGGGTGGATGGGTGGATTGTGTTCTCCTCTGGTTTTCTTTCCCTTTGTTATGGTGAAGGGTGGATGTATTTATAGGCTAGGGAGAGGACCACCATCTAATTAAGGTGGTAGTGATGAGTGTTGTGGTAATGAGTGGATGTAATGGGTGTAGTGGATGGATGTTTGGTAATGAGTGGATATAATGGGTGTAGTGGATGGGTGTTTATAGTTGTAGGTCAACACACTTGCACACACACATGCTGATATCTAGCCTTATAATCTTCAAAAACGTCCATCCTCATGTCTCCATGCTTGTACTATCCAATATTGGCCCAAAAATGCTCCAAAGTGCTCCAAATAGTATTTTGTTATTTGAACCTACAAACACACGAAAATAGCTTAAAATACTAAATAACTAGAATTAAACTAGGTAAATGCCAAGAAACAAGCTCACTAAGTTGCATAAATATGCTTCTATCAAGAGGTCGAAAAAAACAAAATGTGAGTGAATCATTTTTATCACGTCAAAATCATTCAAATATAATAACCCCTACTTTGAAATCGTATATATAGTGAGAACAACATATGGTATAGTACTATAGCAAGCAGGTAAAGTGGCGTATCTAGCATATACTAGCAAACTCTAGCTTGAACTAGAACAGAAAATGTACCTGCAATAAATAATACGGTGGCAGCCAGCTGTAGGATATGTATGATAACCATGTGGTGAAAATAAATCACCAATGATCTCAAGATATCATCTAAGTTAGGATAAGTATAGGCCTCGTCAAAGGCTAACATGTATAATATGCATCAACATAGGTATATATATAGTAGAAACATTTAATTTTTTCGAAAGGGTCCACTCACAGGTAAGCAAAGTGTCTCTCGTCAATAGGTTCCTTCCCTATACTCACTTTATCCTCAATAAGACCTGTGATTGTAATATAAAGCTAAGTTAAGCTTTAATTCACATTATGTGGAAAATCATCCAAAACTACCATTTAGGTAAATGAATTTGCACAAACGGAGTGCGCCACTTGATTCAGAACACTGAAAAACTTTGGGTTGGGTCTCGGGTCCTGCACGCGCCACCAAGGTGGTGCGAGCAGTCATGTGTTGGGAACACACATTGCCGTACGGTCGCCATCGCTAGCTAACGCGCCGCCCTACTCATTGCTGCAGCTCGATGTGTAAGGACTGCACTTGCCATCGCCGTAGCAACGCGCCGGTACGGTGGGAGTTTAAGGGATTTAACTGAATATACCTACTCCGTTGGGAGATTCCGTTAATGTTAATGGAATATTAGCTTCTACCGTTAAAGTTAACGGTTACTGTCGCTGGTCATCGTCGCGATCGCCGGAGCCTCGCCGGAAACTACATAGAAAATCCAGAACGTCGTCAGGGCTTCCCAAGCTCGATTTCAACGATTTTTATAATCCAAAACCAACCAAAACACGAATTAAGGCCTAGGGAATTACCTAGACCCAGATATGGACCAATGGAGGTTAAATCCGTCTCAGATTCAAAGGAACTTGTCCGGAGTTACCTTGCCGGATTCTGGAAAAATGCACCAAACACATGCATGCATTAAAACAGAGATTTCCAGCCCGATTTTTAATTTAAAACCCCTCAAAATAGGATTAAGAACTTAATGGACCTCGAACTCGTCGGGGTTCGTCCATTTCCGCTCGTCGGATTCTGGGAAATGAAAACAGAGTGCATGCAAAGGATACAACAAAAATTTACATCCCAAAACCTCATCAATCTTGTCCCAGCCGCCTTCGAGATCAACGGTTTTCACCGGAGTTCGTCGCCGGACTGGTTATGCATGCACAGAGAGTTATCGACGCTAGTTCCTTCGATTTTCCAACCCAAGAACACATCCTCAACACGGAGATAACTCAGATATTCAAAGATTGGAAGGAAGACCTCACTTGAGTTCAAGTTTGAGAGCTCAAGCTCTCGGATTTAATGGCAGAGCACCCTACGTTGCTCTAATTATGCATGCGAGGACATTGCTGGGTTTCCTCGTGTCCGAATGATTCCAAATACATAATTTTCAAGGTTGATTTCACAAGGTTTTGAAGTGGAGTGAAGGGAATAGCTCTCGGAGCTACATAGATAGAGAGAGTGAGAGAGTTTAGGGAGAGAGAGGTTTGCAGAAATGAGAAGGAAAGAGAGAGACAGAGTGGGTATAATCACACTCAAAAAACAATTATTTTAAGTTGAAATTACAGATTTGCCACTCCATTAATTACGAATCATAAATAAGCCTTGGGGTGGAAAAAAAATACCGAATATCCCAAACCAAATCGAAAAGTTCCTGAAACCGAACCGAAAAAATACCAAACCGAAATTTTCGGTATGGGAATCGGTCTCAAGTTTTCGTTTTTTTGGTAATCCCGAACTGAATCGAAATTAAAAATATAATTTTTTTAATTTTTTAATATATATTTGGAATTGTAACAGTTGTCGGATTCGGTTGAGATTTAATCTCAACCATTGAATAGAAATCAAACCTACACCGAGTACACTCTCTGTCTCCGTCTCTCGACATTCAATCACTCTCTCTCGCAGCTCGCCTCAGACTGAAACCCTTACCTTACCAGAAAACATCTCGCTAATTTGTCTCTCCGTTTTCGAATCCGGCCACACAAGTGACTCACCTGAGTCACATCTCTCTCAACTATCACCTTTCTGATCTCTTTCTCAATCTCTCTCGACTTCTCATCCCTCACAGTGGAGGAGCCTTCCTTCACGAATCACGGCCACCGGCGCTACTCTCTTTCTCAGTCTCTCAGTCTCTCTCAATTCCAATCATCCAGTGCACTATGCAACGATTCTCCCCCAAATCAGGTAAATTTTAGAATTAATTTAGGGTTTGAATTTTAATTTAGGGTTAGAATTTGAGATTAGGGTTTGTGAAATTTAGCACTTGGAAGATAAAGTATACTGCATACTGAGGGTTTAGGGGTTGAATTGGTGGTTGGAATTCGAGATTAGGGTTTCTCTTCTATCACAGACTCACAATTGAAGCATAAATTTGTTACGGGCTGATAGTTGATAGTTATTGCAATAATTGCAGCTGCTGAAATGAATTTCGAGAGTTTGTGTTAATTGATGAATGGAGTTCAGAATTAACCGTGAGATTTTGGGATGTTTGTAATGCAGCACCATAAATGTATTTACAGTTTGTTTAGCGGTTCATTTAGATGTGTTTTTGAGTACTAATTACTATATGAGTGCTAAACCACAACCACTAGCTTAATTACCTGTTCATGGTATTCAAATCTTGTTAGATACTTGGAAGACTAATGCCAAAACTTGTGATTATGTTAAACCGTGTTCATATAATATATATGAAGATTTAGAACTGATGAACTGTCAAATCCACATAATTGCACATCATTAGGTTAAGGAATCTTCAATTGCAATGCTAGATCATATATCTTTCCTAGGTTGTTTTGTTATTGTTTTTGACCAGGCAGAATTGGGAGTCTGGTAGAAAACGTCTTTGCCTCATCGAATTCAACACTTCACTTCTTTGAAGTGCTTTACGTATCGACTATTTGAGAAAGTGGTGGTTTTACCAGAGTGTTTGGGAAACATTACACTCCCTATATAAACAGTACGGTATAAAAACCTTTAATGCCGAAAGCTTGTCTACATTCATAGGATGTTGTTATTGCATTTTGTTTACTCTATAGTTTCTATTTGTAACATTAGAATGTTTTTGTGATAATAGTATTTCTTATTTTGCTTAAAATGTATTTGTTTCTTACTGAAAATATATACACAAGTTGCAACAGTCGCTTTGATATTTGAAGTACAAAGAAGTGCTTGGTCAGAAGCGAGAAAGGAGGAAGCACGCAAGCAAGAACTGGAAGTATTGTGGCAATACAGTCAATGTGTTAATTTGCATTTGTATGCTAATGGAGTTGAAAGAAAATGGTAGCTCTTTATCCTGGTATTGAACTATCTGAGCAAACTGCCATCTTTGGTTTTATTTTCATTAGTGTAGTGAAAGAAAAACATCTGAAATTTCTGAGCAAACTTCTGCATGCAAGTATTTGTAAGTACATATTTGCTTTATTCTGCCTTCTTGAAGTTCATGTTGGTGTAGTTCAGAAGCCCAAAAGCTCAAAATTATTTCGGGACTCCCGAAATCCTGAAACTATTTCGGGATTCTCGAAAATTGGGATTCCCAAAAATTTGGTTTGGGATCGGTCTTGAAATTGGGAATCCCGAAAACTTCGGTTTGAGAATTGAGACAAGGGTTCCGAACCGAAACCAGAAGCTTTCGAGGCTTCAATTCGTATTTCGCTTTCGACGTTAAACTACAACAACAACAACAACAACAAAGCCTTTTCCCACTAAGTGGGGTCGGCTATATGAATCCTAGAACGCCATTGCGCTCGATTTTGTGTCATGTCCTCCGTTAGATCCAAGGACTCAAGTCTTTTCTTAGGGTCTCTTCCAAAGTTTTCCTAGGTCTTCCTCTACCTTCGTTCTGGATTCATTTTCATAAGGATTCGACGTGATCATGGAGTGCCGGCTGTCGACTACCTGACGCCCTCCCCCTCCTCCTTTATCCGGGCTTAGGACCGGCAATGTAAGATAAACTTACACGGCGGAGTTTTGGCACTCCCCCTCCTCCTTTCGACGTTAAACTAACGTACAAAAATGAAATTATGACACTTAAGAAAGTATAAGGACTTTAATCTCGAGACAAGGCTCAATAATTGATTAAGACACCCATTCACGGGCAAAATAGTCATTTCACATGTCTTGCGAGTAAGATACAATATTTTAAGAAACTGGTTGTAACATCAGAAGATCCCTCACTACAAAAAAAATAATTTTGCAAAGAACAAATTTAGTCATGCAAACAGAGATTTTGTCGTCCTAGGTTTTGCCCGACAAAACTTCGTTGTGCCAAGTTCTTCGCACAAAACTCGTTGTGCAAAATTTGCCCGACTAAATTTAGAAACTATCAAGCAATAATACTTTGCCTGATAGACATTTCGACAACTCTTCCATCGAGCAAATTGCATTAACCAACTTTGCTCGATGAACTTTACATGGCCGACTAAAATATTTCATCGGCCAAAGTTTTAATTTAACAAAAAAATAATAACAAAATATTACATGGCCACTAATTGGAGACACAATTTAGGTAAATGATTTACAAACTCTTTTTATCTCATTGTAGTAATATCTCTGTTTTTCGAGCCACATAATTATATATGTCAACAGTGAATCAAAATACATAAACGAGTAAACAAGTCCAAATGACATAAAATAAGTGTGAAAATCAAATAAGCGATCAACTAATTCATAGTCTATATCTTCTCTCGTCCGCAATCACGAAGTTAGCTGAACACTCCACAAACACGATTAAAGGAATCGTCCAAAAAGCAAAACACGATTAAATGAATAAAATAAAAAATATCATAGCTCAAAACCGTGCAACAAAAAATAATATATTAAACTAAAGAATTCAACAATAAAATAAACCATTAGACTTTTGTTTGGGAAGTACAACCTGCACTAATGTTCATAGTTTAGGCGTTTAGTGAAGTAACTTTCCGTGACATCAATGTATATAATATGAGTTCTTTAACTTGAAGTCAATATCATATCAGAACATTTTTTTGGTCAAGAAGATGTAGAGCAACGCCTATATCTCTTCTCTATATAAAACGTGGAAAGTTGTCTTACCATTTCAGTATTACCTACTCATCAATTCTCTTACCTTATCAAATCTTGTCTGATTCCATACCAGTTTCCTTGGAGTGTATTAACAAACAGCTATGCAGATTATGCTTCAGTTTGGGCTTGACCCTCATGTTAGGGGATTGGTAAGCGACTTCTCGTAGTCTTCACGGTGCAGCAATGTATGGGAGGTACGAGCAATGGTTGGCTCATTATGGTCGTGTATATAACGATATTAACAAGAAGGAAAAGCGTTTCAAGATATTCAAGGAAAATGTGGCATTTATTGAATCATCCAATAGTGATGCAAACAAATCACACAAATTAAGCGTCAATCAATTTGCAGACCTTACGAATGAAGAGCTCAAATCCGCAAGAAACAGATTCAAGGGGCACGAATATTCCACAAGGACAAGTTCTTTTAAATATGAAAACGTTACAACAGCAGTGCCAGCTTCAATGGACTGGAGAAAAAAGGGAGCCGTAACCCCCAACAAGGACCAAGGCAGATGCGGTAATAATATAAGTGCCTGCTTAGTTCATTAATATCTTAGAAACACTATATGTTCTTTTTAATTTGGGAGTTTAGTTAATTGCTTAAGTTATTCTAACTACTTTTCACTGCAATTAAAATACAGGATGTTGTTGGGCTTTTTCGGCAGTAGCAGCTACAGAAGGAACTGCGCAGCTTACAACTGGTAAATTGATCTCTTTGTCTGAGCAAGAGCTGGTTGATTGTGATACCGGTGGTGAAGACAAAGGGTGTGAGGGTGGCTCGATGGATGATGCTTTTCAATTCATCCAACAAAATCATGGAATTAGTGCGTGATGCGTAAAATAAGTTAACACACAAAATTAAACCCTCTTTTTATCAAATGTAGTAAAGTATGTAAGTAGGGATCGTTCTAGGCCGGGGATTAGGAGGGATTGCTAAACACTTGAAAACTGACTTAAAAACATAAAAACAAAATTTAAAACACTAAACTAGACTCAAAGAATGCAAAACTATACTTTAAAATACTTAAACAAACATAAAACTCAAAACAGCAACCTAATGACTCAAAACTGCCTAAAAACCACTTTCTGGGTAGTTTTGAGAACCTAACAAGAACTTGGACGAAGTTGGATGAAAACTTGAATCAAAACACTTAGAAACACAAATCAAAACACTTTCTAACTAATCTAAGACTTCAAAATAAAGGGGGATTTGTTTTGGACGAAAATTGAAAAACAAACAGAAACTTTAAAACAAAACAGATTGTAAAACGTTTTTTGGATGAAAAGGATAGATAAAAGGCTAGTTAGGAGGTTCTTCTCCACACATGACACACTTGCAAACAAAATGATTTTCAGTTGTTCTTTCAATAAATTATGAAACTCAACACCCCAAGTTAATTAGATACGCTTAAATTAACCTTCAAGTTCTCCTTAAGTTAATGAATTGGATGGAAAAGCGCATACAACAATTCAAAGCATTCCTCAAAGGTTCCTTACGTGATGAGCACAATAAAGATACAATCAAGAATCATGAAGCACAATGAGAACTATAAGTGTTGACGAGGCATTCGTTACTATGATGAGCATGAAACTAGTGCCAAGAATTCATTCAGCGCGATCGTTTTCAAGCGACCTTCACTACTTGTAATTATAAGATTGTAACTATTAGGTGAAACTCCCTCATAATCTAGCATCATATTCATGCATGAAAACTAAGCGTGCACTCTCAATCAACATACACAAATAAGTTATCAATCAAGTAGATGAACGAATTGAATCCGCAACTTATGAAATAACAACTGAATGTAATCAAATCATATTGCAAGCATGTACATGGTTTCGAATCACCCCCCAACTAAGGGGGTTTAGTTCCTCATTCTTGCAATACAAAGATACATAAAATTAGACATTAAAATCAAAGGTAAGAAAACACCTAAAATGCTCCAACTTGGAAAGCAAGTGCATCAATGGATCTCCCTTCCTCCTTGTTGCGGCATGAAGCTTGTGGACAGATTTTTGGGTGGATTTATGGTGTAGAATGGATGGGGAATGATATGGAGGGGTTTAGGGTGAGTGTGGAAGAGTGTTTGATGGTTGGAAGGTGGTGGAGAACTAGGCAAAGAGGGTGGAAGAAGGTGGAGTGGCGATTATGTTTTCTAGGCACTAGAATGGTGTTTTTGGGGTGTTTTGCTTCCTAGGGTGTGTATGGACGAATTTCTGTGATAAAATGATGAATATGGGGGATTGTTCTTTGGCCAAGGGGTGTAAACATGTATTTATAGGCCCCCAAAAACCTTAGAAAATCAGGTTAGGTTAAGGATGAAATGCATGGTAATTTGTGTGTGTGGTGTGTGCAATGGTCCAAGGGTGAAAATGAAGTGATGATGCAAAGTGTGAAGGGTAAAATGGAGTGGTCTTGAAGCTAGGGAGCATGAATGATTGTGTACATTGCATAGAGATGGAAAGGGAGGTGAAAATGTGTCAATAAATGGGTCAAAGGTGCAGCAACATGTGGTACACAAGGCATGGGATTCCAAATGTGAATGATGAAGCATCAATTGGTGCATGTAATGGATGTAAATGTTGTCTAAAATCTAATGAGTGAAGGGAACAAGAGGTATCAAGCAATTGAGTGTAATAATTAAATGAATTGAAGCATGAAATTAGAAATTATGTAGGGGACAAAGAGTGATCAAGCATGGCATGGAATCCAAAGGGAATTCTATGTGGTTTGCATGGCAAGGAATGCAAGTTGGGGTGACAGATTTTTGGGCTGTTTTCTTCATCTTTTGGACCATAATTCTTCATATTCTTGGCCTCTTTAGTTCTCAAATTCGTCCATCCACTTGGCCCATGCATTTGCTATCCATTCCAAGCCCGAAACATGCTCCAAAGGCCTCCAAAATGCATCTTCTTGCATACTTTGTACTTAGAGTCTGAAAACACACGAAAATGACTTTAAACATTAAAATAACTAAGGAAACACGACATAAATGCACAAGAACAAGCCAACTAAGTCGCATAAATATGCTCCTATCAAATTCCCCCACACTTAGCTTTTGCTAGTCCTCGAGCAAAACAAAGAGATAAAAGGAAACAAAACAAATAAAACACAACCTAAACCTTCCAACATTTGCCTCAGGGATTTCCAATGCACATGACATGTTAAAAATCATTATCCCCACAGATTTGAGTCATCTTTACACTTAAGCACATACTTAATCATAGTTACCACTTACTAGTTCACAATTAATCAATTAAAACAATGTTTTTGATGTAGTAACATGCCTTAGAGAAATCACTCAATTCCTTACAAGATATGCACTCAATTTTCACTCAGATTTTCTAACTACACACCCTATACTAGTTATATGTGAGAAGATTGATGTAGATATGAAAACGAACGCTCACATATATGTATCATCACAAAGAAAGCAATTTCTGGAGTTAATAAGCATGTTTAGATATGATCTCATGAATGGAATGCTACTACTTAAATGCGAGAACCAGTGACACCATATGCTCATACCAAATTCAAACTCCACATATTGAAACGCATGACACTCAAGATGAAGTTAAGGGTTGTAGCGGGGCTTGGGGTGATGGCTAACAAATGAAGGATAAGGATAACAATTGTTCTTAAAGCAATAGCAAGTAAAGTAATGAAATTGAAACTTAGAATTCACTTAGATTGCAGAAATCAGCTTTTAGACACGAAGGGAAAATTCAAGCAATAATTAGGGCCGAATTCTATGTTTTGGACCCTTTCTTCAACAAGCAGGACTTTAAAACTCTTTTTTTTTTTTTTTTTTTTTTTTTTTTACTCTTCTTTTCTTTTCAACAAGCATAATAACTCACACTTCCCCCACACTTGTTTTCTGTCATACATTAATCAAAAGAAATTCAATTTGAATCATGTTTTACTATGCTTCAAGAACAAGGGTATGGATGGTCCTAAACTAGGCTAGGTAAGGATAATGTGGTTTAACAAAGAATGTAGCCTATCAAGGCTCAATGGGGTTAACTTAAACATATAACGATATGGGATACATGGCAGTTTGGCTTTGGTGGTGGTAACTACACAACTTCATCTTGAATATGTTTTATGCAAATCAATAGCATGCTTTGAATGAAATAGGCATGAGTTCTAGCATTTGGAACTAAATGATGAAACGCCTTCTAAGTAATAGCCAAGCAAAGAATAATGAGATCATGCAACGACTTTAGAAAACAAGAATGCACAGATTTTAACTCTCCAAATAAACGTTTAAGCTCAAGTCTCACAAGGTTATAGCGTTAGTTTGAGTTCTTTCCTTCAAGCATGTTACAAAAACTAATTTTTTCTTTTATGATTACATGTGATTTCATAAGTTATAACCACAACCACGCATAAATAAAGAGTAAATCAAACTTTCATCCATGTTTATAACTCTCTTTAAGAGTCATGTAATTACAAACCGAATCCTCATCATTGTGTTGGAAGGTACCCTAAGACACAGATAAGCGCACAAAAACAACTCTTTTTTTTTTTGAATTTTCAAAAACAATTTTTCAAATTTTTATGAATTTTCGGATTTTTTATGTCAAAACACACTGAAACACTCCAAAACAGCTTAAAAAAAAAATACTTAAAACAACAAGGAACAACACAAGAAGTAATGGGTGATAAATTTCTACGAATTTCATGCAAAACAATGGTTACCCCCCACACTTAAATCAAACATTGTCCTCAATGTTTCAAGCATATACTCACACCAAAAACAAGCAAATAATAAACGACAAATAAACATGACAAATATGGCAAAGTAAAAACCAGACAGAGTAGAGTTTAAGAACGCAAATCTGGTTTTGGAGATAGTTGATCTTGTTGACTTTCCACAGCTTTGATCTTGAACTGGATTGGAATTGTACGGCGAAGCTTTTCTCTTTGGCGATGTTCCAATTCCTTATTTGTTCTCCAAGCAGATGTGGCAGCTTCTCTAGTTCTTCATTTCAGACTCCTTCCGTGGCCCCACCGACTGCTGAGACTCCGCCGACTACTGCAATCTCTCCCAAGCAGCCTTTGTGAAGGCTCCCTCTTGTATTATGCTATGTTTCTTTATTTCCCAGTTTGCTGTTCATTTCCACGAAGTTTAATGTTAAAATCCTTTGCATATTTGTTAATGTTTCAAAATAGAAAGTCATAACCAAAAATAATTAAACAAGTAAGAAAATTGACAATCAAGCAGAATAAATGGGTTGCCTCCCTTAAAGCGCTTGCTTTAACGTCTTCCAGCCGGACGATGAACACCTTCACTTCTCCTTGGAACCCACGGCATGCAGTGGGATCTCCTCCACAACATGCTCCACAAAGTTCTCGTAGTATGGCTTCAAGCGATGTCCATTCACTTTGAATTCTTGCCCGGTTCTCAAGCTCTTAATTTGGACTGCACCATGCACAAAAAGATTAGTAACAACAAACGGGCCAACCCATTTGGAACGTAACTTACCAGGGAATAGACGAAGGCGGGAGTTGAACAACAACACTTTCTGCCCAATTTCGAAAGTCTTGCCTCGAAGCATCTTATCATGGAATGCCGTGGTCTTCTCTTTGTAAATTCTAGCATTCTCATAAGCTTCATGCCTTATCTCATCAAGTTCACTCAATTGAAGCTTTCGATGAATTCCAGCTTGGTCCACATTCAAATTGAAGGTCTTGATGGCCCAATGAGCTCTATGTTCTAATTCCACGGGAAGATGGCAAGGCTTGCCATACACAAGTCGAAAAGGAGACATACCAATGGGGGTCTTGTAAGCCGTTCGATACGCCCATAGTGCATCATCCAGCC